AACACAAATTGTGTTATATAGAAGAGGTACATATCCCAATGACACTTTCAAGACCAGCAGGGCTGAGTCTACATAACTTAAAAAAATGGTTGGCATATGAATCAGGCACTTTATTACCCATTTAAAATAAGCTGTATGGTAATTCTCTTCCCTTTCCAATGTGTGTATTGGCTCCTTTCAGGTAAGTGTATCTTCTCCTTCCCATTTACTACTTCAGTATTGTCCACAGTATGGAAGAAAAATATGAATCATGATAGCCTACCGATATTGAGTATCTGACATTCAACTAAACTCTTATTTTGAACACACACTTAGCTCATTTTAGAACTATGTTAAAAAAAAGACTATTCCTCTCTGAATTTATTCAATGTATTTTAATATAGTAAAATATCCTATAAACTATGGATGTCCCATTCATTCAGCAGTTTTTTTAAAATTAAAATCCACTAATGATCAACATACTTCATATAAACATTTGGAAATAATTTCTAGACTAATTTACTGAATAACTTAAATGACATTCTACAAAAGGTAGAACTTAGAAAAATAGCAATGTGCTCGGAAATCCCAATTTGTGTAACTTGGTAAAAAGTGCAAAAGGAACAAGATGTTGATGAAAATATGAAAAATCGTTCAAAGTTTAACATAACCCCTAAATGGCTCTTGGATTTATATTAGAAAAGTGCATTCAATTTAAACAAAAATAAAGTAAAACAAGTGACCCCATTTACACAGGTTTATCATTCTGACATTCAAGCGTTTCCATATTATTATTGCCAAAGAGTTTTCTTAAACTTTAATGTTTTTAGCAAAAGTACCTCAATTAGAAAAAAATATATAGTCCAGTAGTGTATTATTTGAATGTTGATTAATTACAGAAAACATTTTCCTAATAGCAAAATTTTTTTTTTAATTAAGATATTTTTTCCCTCCAACACTTTAATTTTCTAGTGGCGTAACATTACAAACAAAACCATGTCCCAAAGTTTCTAAACACCATTGTGTATTTTTGGACTAATGCTGGGGGGACTATTTTATGTACCAACCTCTGCCATAATATGTTCTTTCCAATAGTTAACAATAGCCAAAAGATTTTGAAAACAATCTGAGAAGAATCCATATTATAACTAGTTTGTAGGGAGTCACATGTAAAACCACAGTTCCTGAGAATTTTATATTCATACAGATAGGGAAAAAAAATTCACAAAATTTTAGTATTTCTTTCCCCACAAACAAGCAAACAAAAAACCTTGTAAGTGGCTATCTGGCAAAATTCAGGGCAAAGGGAGAGAAACCATCTGTCTTGCTGACTTAAAAATTAAATTTAATTTAATGTGCTATACCTTAAAATGTCTAAGGTATAGGAAACATCTTCAAGTGTTCAAAACAGGACAAATGTTTAATTTGATTCTTCATTAGGAAGGACACATAATATTTTCTAAGTAGAGGAAAAAAAACCCCTAAATCATTTAGTTTAAATGAATATTGAAAACTAAAAAATATTTCAAAGAACTGATTAAGAATATACTGCATACACAAAATAATTGTTTAACAGTAAGACTTTTACTAATTATGCATTATGCAACAGACATAGTTTCATTCTTCCAACAGGAAGTATTTGTTTCTGGGTATTGAAATTTTCATTGGCCTTGAAGAAAGTAGGCATCGATGATGTAAATATCTTAACATAATTTATCTTTTCCTTCAAAAATCTCTGCCATATTCACTTTACATACCACACACACAAAAATAAAACTGAAAATAATCAAATGTCTAACAATAGGTGTATACCATACATCAGAATACTGTACAGTGGCTTTTCATTTTTAAAAAACACACAACTAGATCTACATTATTAACATAAACAAATCTCCAAAATAACGTTGAGTGAAAAATGAAAGTTGCAGAATACATGTAAGAGTACGAGGTCAATTGTATCAGTTTAAAAACACACAAAAGACTACATATTATTCATGGATACATACATATGCAGAAAAGGTATAAAAGCATGTACAGAAATAATACACATCAACTTCAGAATAGTGGTTACCTACAGGGAAGATAGAGAATGGATAGAATGAGATGGGTACAAAGGGGGCTTTAACTCTACCCACAAAGTTGAAAATTACAAAAAGATTTGAAACAAATATGGTATGTTAACATTGTTCAATCTGGTGGTGTTACACAGAAACTCATTATATTATTCTCTATACTTTTTAATTTTGAAATCTTTCATAATAAAAATAAAAACATTCACAGAATAAAGAAAAAGTTGAAGCACCGCTGCCATTTCCAGATGAAATAATTTGGTCTGCTAAAACATAACACAAGTTTTCTTTTCCCAAATAAGACAATAAATATTAACAGAAAACATTATATAATTGACAATGTACACTTTTGTAAAGAATCACTGATTATTATATTAAAAAATACAACAATTAAAGAACAGGATTTCAATGCTTCTACTTCAAAACTCTACCTTTGCTTGAGTTAGAGGATCTAATTTCACACCACAAACAGGCTTTCCTTGCTTTAGAGAGTACCCCTTTGAATTTTCTTGTATGCCACTTCCTTTAAATGTGGTTGAGAATAAAAGGCTTAGTGTACAACAGGGTATAGCAGAGACCTAGCTAACTGTAAGTTAAATAAGACTAATGAATACATTGTATTCTCATATAAACTAACAGTAGCTCAATTCAAAGATAATAAATTATGTCCAGTACATAAACTTTCACTGTTCAGTTTGAAACTTTTAACCTGTAAGGGAAATATATATGGTCTGTTACTTTGTTTACCAAACATTTTTTCTTGTCAGGAAAGCTTTCCCATCTTTGTCAGATTAATACTTCCTTGATCACAGATGAAGTCTTTCAAATTAAAGATAAACAACTACTTGCCTGTTGTTTCTGATATGCAGTGTTTGGATTTATCTTTGATTCCAAGAGTAGTGATCCTGAAAGATAAAAAACAACAACAACATGTATAAGTTTCAATTTATAAAACCTGAATAAAAAATGAGTCCACATTATAAAAAAAAAAAAATCATTGCATGTTCCCTTCACTCAGCTAGATATCTGAAGTATTCACATTTTTCTCTCCAGACCCGAACTTCATATTTAATTTACAACATATCATCCTATTCCAAGAAACCCTTATATCCACCTAAGATAAACATTCAGACCAAGAATATAAGGATGTAATACTTTAAAACAATAACGAATTTAAATAAACAAATAAATAAAAAGACTATAAGGAGACTTGATGACTATTAAAGTTTTATTGAAATGAAATTTTAAGGTCTAAATGACCACTTGAAGCCAAACTCTTTTTTTAACAGTTATTTTATTGCATTGCCAGTTTAACAAATAAATTACAAAGGACCACAACAAGTACACAAATTACAGAACTGCTTTTCTCCTTTTCTCCTTAAGAACAAAAAGGACACTGCTTGTAGACATAAACGCCCGTGACTATTTTTAAAGGAAAAGTACAAGCGTACAAAATACATCACGAAGCAATCTAAGGTGGTTTATGCTCCCACTGTCTGCACATAGTTCCAGATTACAACGAGAAAGACATTTTAACTACGACCGTACATTTCATGATTTAGGAACACTTGCGCCAGGACTCGTACAATAAATACGTCCACGAATAACGTGGAAAGAATCCACAGACCCCTCCTACCCCCCGCAGGGACCCCGCCGGGAGGCGTCTGTGCTCGCGCGCGTGCACCGTGGCCACAGCCGGCCGTGACCCCGGCTTTCACAGGTGCCTTCAGGTTTCCCCCAGCACCTGTCGACTGTGGCAACCGGGGCTCGGTGGGAACATCCGTTCCAGAACAAAGACTCGGAAAGGAAAGTTCCGCTGAACCTTTGGTATCAGACACAGACTAGGTAACAACAGAGACAGGAGGGAGCAGGGGCTCCCCAACGAGGAGCGATCAACACCCCGTGAGCTCCCTGCCCTCTCCTTCGCGCTCTCCCTTCTTCAAGAGAAGAGACCGGAGAGGAAGGGGTCAAGTCCTTAACCGGGACAGGAGGCGGGGGAACAGCGCACAGGCGTCGGACTGAGGGTGAATCCGGACAAAGTCGTTTGTTTTTACCGGACAGAAGTGCGGAAACAAAACCCAGGCTCCAAGTCCGAGGCGGCAGTCCCAGCACCCCGCCTCCGGCCTCCCCCGCAGGGCTGTGCCCTACCGGGAAGCACTCCCCCCCGCGAGCCTACCGTCCCAAAAACCTTACCGTCGGACTCCGCCCGAACCAGCAGCGACATCCCCTTGAGCTCCTCCACGTAAGTGGACGAGACGTGCCCGGTGCCTCGGTCGTCCCATTGCCGGTCTTCATTCAGGGTATAGACCTTCACTCGCCGCCGCGTATCCGACATGGTGGCCGCTGTTCCCACCGGTCCAGACGCCGCCTCCACGTCCCCCTCGTCCTCGCCCCTCACTCTTGAGAAACAGTAGCGGCGGCGGCTCCGGAGAGGCCCAAATTCACCATGGCTCTCAAGGTTCAGCCGCGGAAAGGGGCAACAAGAGCCACCGGGACCTCTCGGCCGGAGCCCCGGGACCTCTCACTGCACCCACACACACACCCACCCTCCCCTCCCTTTGCCCCCCAGAGCTCGCTCGCTCTGCCGCCGCAGTAAGCACTACACATCCGCCATCTTGTAACCCGATTCTCTGCCTTTCTCTTCCTCCTCCAGCAGGCTCGCACGGGCTGTCCTAGCAGGGGCTACGGCGGCCGACGCGGCCAACGCACCGCCGCTCAGCTTCTGCTCACGCTTC